CAAACAGGCCCCACGTTTTGAAGGCCTGAATTAGAATAAATGCTGATACCCAAAGAGATGGCCTGGTTATGTGGCTAGGGCTAGGGCTGGCACATGTACTGGAGACTCCACTGGTATCCTCACAATGTCAGGAGAGGAAATCTCCCCCCCCCCCACAACATTAGTTGAAACCTGTGGTGGATAGGCATGGAGTTGTCATCTGCATTAGTGGAGGGAATGTCCAGATTGATGAGATCACAGATCCATCTCGGTATTTGAGAGCAGAAAAGGGAAGGGCCTTCTGTCTCAAATTACACCTCACGGTCCTACTCTGCCTAGTGATACAGTTCTTTACCTCTTCCTGTTAGGTTTGGAACATCACTGTTGAAGATTTACAGATCTGCTCAAAGGCATGGGTTGTCTGTGATCAGCAACAGTTCCAAAATGAGAATAACCAGGCTTCCTGATATGACAGCACCTTTGTTTAGCATTCAGCATACCTGAAAAACAGAATCTTTTCCCTGCTCCCTTCCTGCCCCCTCTTCTGTCCTGATCAAGGGTAAAGATCTACGTAGAAAAGATACAAGGATGCCTTGGGTTTTGTGATTTTTTTGACAAATTAAGGGGGCGCTGATTAGAATGGAAGGCAGATAGAAAATGAGTATTGATGTATGCATTCAATTTATAGTTATTTGTTATAGTTATAAAGCTACATCAAAACATATTATACCATTCTATACATAGATGAAAATGTATACAAAGACAGCTAGACCCCAGTGCCTAGCATCCTAAAATGTCACAAGTTCACAGGTGTATTATGGAGCCATGAACAAAGGGAATACTAGACAGTGCACTTTCCAACCTCTCTTCCTCAACCTTTCCTTCTTTTCCTATCTTTGCCTAGCATCTCCCTTCCAAAAGATACCCTCTAGCTTCTGATTTCCTTGTATTGGAAAGGAAAACTGTAGGAAGTCTTTAGGGGAAAAGTAATGGATTACAAACCTGTCAGAGATCTTAGTTAAGAAAAGAAGGCACTATGGATCAAGGATGATGTCTTTTGATTTCCAAAATAGCCTTTGACACTAGACGTTCTGTAGTTATAAACTGGCCACTGTTAATGACTTCTAAACTGAAGGGCTAAGTGAATAATGCATTTATTTCTCCAAACTCGGTTACTGATGGAGATTGTGTAATTGTTCATCCTTCCCTCTTGAAGAGGGTCAATGACATCATGAGGGTGATGTTTTGACTTGCACATGAATTGGATTTAAGTGAGGCAAAGCTGCACAAAGTCCTCAGCCTTACTCTCATAAGAGCCAAGGAAATGAGTGGCCTCAAATTGAAAGATGAGAAAATGAGGATTAAAAAAAATTACTTCAGGGGCAGCTAGGTGGCACAGTGGATAGAGCACCGGCCCTGGAGTCAGGAGGACCTGAGTTCACATCCAATCTCAGACACGACACTTACTACCTGTGTGACCCTAGGCAAGTCACTTAACCTCAACTGCCTCACCAAAAAGGAAAAAAAAATTACCTCCAGTTTGCTTAGTTTTTATGACACTTCATTAGAATATTGTAGGACTGACTGATATGCACACAATTCAAGATAAAGATTAGACTGTGGACTGACTATAGCCTTAGAGTTAAACAAAATTCCTCTGTGTTTCTCCTTTCCACTTGGAATTAAGAAGCCGTAGTTCTAACAACTGAGCAAGCATCTGCCTGGTGCCTTTTGTGCCCAGAGCCCCAGGAGGTGCTTTTCAAGTCCCTTGTCCATCCAATCTCCCTCCCCAGTAGACTGAGGCAAACCTGGTGGGTGGAACTTGTGCTCCACCCTAGCAACATGATTTGCTAGATCAGTTTCTAGACTCTAGGTCCAGGGTCCACGGTAGTATACACTATAATCACAGGAGCATATTTTAATGACTCCTCACCTCTAAATGCCAAGCTCCTAGGAACCATTTTCATTTATTTAACATTTACCAAGTGGCTACTATGCACAAGATCCAATTTCTGAAAATAATTCTTCTACATGCAAAAAAGACATGCTGGCAAGAAAGGACCCACATTTCTAGGATTAACTCACCTGTAAAGGTGAGGAAAATCTGGAAAGGAGCTCTTGCTTCCCATCCTCCCATCCGGTAGAAAAGGGTAAAAGTTAAAAACGATTCATTTGTACTCCGGCTGGTATTCCTTATTCTGTACAATTTTTCCATGAAAAGTTGGCCTGAAATTGGCTTATGACATTTCCCCATATAATACAATATACTTTAGAAGGGTTCATTTAGCACACATACATTGCTTCCTGTGACTTGTTTTCTTACTCTAGTGTTTCATGATGTATTTCACTTAAAACACACACACACAGAGGCATACACCAGTAAAACAAATAAATGAATCCACATGGCTATTCACAATCCCTCCCTAACATAATAGCTTAAAATTACAGAAACTCAAGGTGGAAAAGGGTGTTTTAAAAATAAAAAGTTGACTTTTTTTGGGGGGGGTGAGGGGGCAGAGACATATTAAGTTTGCCTTGTCAAAAGCACTTCAGTCTCCCGAACAGTCCCTCCCAGCGAGTGAATGTGAAAGCCCTTCCACTGACAACAAATGGCCAGTCACAAGCACTCAGAGCTACTTCAGTTCAAATGTTACCAGATAGAGGGAGGCTTGGGGATACATATAGCTGAACAGCTGAAGACAGACCTTTGGAGGGTTAGGGTAGTATTGGAGCAAAGGCTATATGAAATAGACTGAAAATGCAAATGTTAATTCTTTTTTCTTCAAAACGTAGTTTCATGCCATGTTTCATTTGATCATCCTCCCCCTCCCTCCCACCCCCAAGGAATGAAACCTAGTAAGTCATGAGATCATAAAAAGCATCCAAAAAAGATTGATCTATTTTTAACACTCCCAAGTCTTTTTTGCCAGGACACAGATTTTCCTGGCCTGGCAGGCAGTGGTAACTAAGGACACATTTGGTTAATGTTTTTATGTCATAAATGCTTTGGTTTTCAAAAAATTATACCATGAGAAAAGTTGCTAAAATGTGTGAGCAGGAAATGTACTCCATTGGAATGGTAAGTCCACTTCCCTCCTAATTTCAATGAAAGATAATTGCTTGCCAGTCAACGAAGTCATCAGCAGTTCTTCTGTCTAGTAACTTGCCCTCCCCTTACTCATCCCTCCTTCTCCACTGCCCAAATGGAAAAAAGACCTGCAATAATAGCTCATAGTTATACTATTTTAAGGTTTGCAAAGCACTTATCTCATTTAATCTTTACATCCCTTTAAGACAGTTACAATTATTATCCCCCATTAGCACATGAGGAAATCCAGGTGCAGAGAGGTTTAGCCACTTGCCGAAGGTCATATAGATTATGGTAATAGCTAACCATTTATATAGTGCTTACTATGTGCCAGGCATGGTGCTAAGTGCTTTACAATTATCTCATTTGATCCTCACTGCAACCCTGGGAGGTAGGTGCTCATTATTCCCATTTTACAGATGAAGAAACTGAGGCAGAGGTGAAGTGATTTGCCCAAGTCACAAGTGTCTGAGGTTTCATTTGAACTCCTATTTTCCCAACTCCAGGCCCTGTGCTCTATGCACTGCACCATCTAAGCTGGATTTCAAATCAGAGGACTTGGGTTCCAATCCTGATTCTGTTATGTACCACTATGATGCCCCTGGACAAGACACATAATCTACTTGGGCCTCAGTTCCCTCCTCTATAAAATGAGGATGCTGGTCTAGATCAGGTGTGTCAGATTCAAGAAGAAATGGGGGGAGCCTCTCAACCATCTATAATGATCCCCTTGAGTTTCAAAAATTTAGTATCTATATGTAGTATCTAATGTAGATTTATTTATTTTGCTAAGTATTTCCCAATTACATTTTAAACTGCTTCAGGCCACATTCAAGAGCATTGTGGGCCCATTGGCCAGCTGTTTTGACATCTCTGAACTAGCTAGATGACTTCTAAGGTTTCTCAATCTTATGACTTTACCTCTTTAAATCTTACGACTAGCCTAGAATTGGACAGCTACAAACTGACTAAAACTGTATATAATGAAATGAAACTATCTGGGCTCCATTGCTACTATCAGGCATGGTTACAGCATTCTAAGACAAAGAGTCTATTCCCATAAAGCTTCTATTTAGCACAAAAAACAGGAATGTAAAAAAATATGATCACAGTGTAGTTAACTTGGAACATTAATTGCTATTTTCAAAATTTTCATCACATTACAAACATGAGATGAATTAATGACCATTTGTTTGTGTTTTTAAGTTGAATGGAATCCAGCAGTTTCGTTCAGTCTTCTGACTGAACATCTTTTATTGCTTGTCTTGATTCCACTTTATGATTTTTTTTCCCTTATGGAGTTGTGGGTAATGGCAGAATCAGAAGAGATGAGAATTGTCTAAGAATGGTTCTTTTTGGAAGCGAATGCATGCTTGTTGAATACTCAAGTTGAGTTTGTTAAACTGGGCAAGGCTGGGAAAGTGAGGAGGAGAGAAGGAGGAAAACGGTTCCCCCCACCAGATAAAAAAGTGTTGTGTAAATCCAAACTAACATGCCCACAGAGAGCTCTAGGCTTGTCATTCCTTCTAATAGCCCTATACTGCAAGACCTCCAAGTGTTACGTCATCACTCTACACAGCTAATTTAGTGTTAACACTGCTGAAAATTTGGTCCAACAGAACAACTGTATAAGGTATAGGTAAAAAAAAAAAAAAAAAAAACAGACCAATCCCCTCCAAGTCCCCAAAGACTAATCTAAATAACCTCTTTTTAGACAACATTTTCAGGGGTAGCTTTCAAAGGAGAATATAAAGAAAGGGAGGAAACATCAACTAGTATAGCTAGTAAAAATGAAAAAAAAAAACTTGAGTTCTATGAAAATTTCTTTAATTTTCATTTTATGGAAATACATTTTCACTTTTTTTTCCATGATACAAAAATGTTGAAAATCTAACAATGATCTGAAGCAGATCTGGACTAAGGCAGATCCATGGAATTTTGTTTTTTCTTTTGTTTAGTTGTTTTTTTTTTTCTTTTAACAGAGTAAGGGCTGGTGTATTTTGTAGGTCTGTCATAGATTTCATACAAAGACACACACACACACACACATTCCCTCTCTCCCTCTTACCCACACACAAAACTTTATCAAAAGATTTCTCCCTGCCTCGTTACCCCTCCCCCCAAAATCTAGATCAAGATTTAAATAGTGAATATGGGCAAAATGTGTACCAAAAAATAACTCTTTCGTGTCCCTCTCTCCCACATGAGAAAATAACGTCTTGAAAAGTCACTCCATAAATTATGGTTTCAAAAAGCTGCTGGATATTTCAGGTTCATTTCTGAGCTGACAATGGTAAAAATTCTTTTACCAGAAAAGCAAGCTTGAGAATGCAATGTTTTCAGGCAGAGGAATGGGTGAAAAGCAATGCAACGGTGACAGGCCTATTTACTGGGAGACTGATGACCATTTGTTGCAATTGCCTAAAAACCCCAATATAAAGAGATGTGTGATAACCCTGAAAGCAGGAAAGAGTTCAACACAAAATCTTGACAATAGCACAGAAGAAAGAATGTCAGCAGCTCATTCTGTACATTTCGCAGCCAGCATACCATCTCAGGTGGCCCCAAACACACTTAAATTTGAATATCTGATCTAACATTTATGACAGCAAAAGCTTCACATGACAGACAAACAAATTCAACCAGTTAATGAGAAATACATTTATGACACTCTAAAGCTGCAATGATTGTTCAATGGACAGTTTAAAAAAAAAACTGGTTTTTCAAGAGACATACTTTGTTTTCAAAGCCATGCCCACACCACATTTTATTAAATTAAATACAGTATGGCTTCCAAGTGGTGTAAGTCTGGTGATTTCTCAGAATCGGAGTCCCTGCTTTCTTCTTTCAACTGTTGGCTACCATGAATCAGGAACTTCAAAGAGCTTGGCGGAACTGCTAGAGATGCTTCCTGGTAGAAAAGGAGGAAAAAAAACAACAACCACTTTACAATCCACAGATAGCATCTTGAAAAAAAAAAATACTAAGCAATTCAAAGCAGAGATAAGTGTATAGCTCTGGTTTGAGAGACTGGCTTTCATACCAGGGGCAGGGTGGGGCTTGCTGCATAAACCACAACCAGAAAAAGCCCTTTGGGACCATGTCTGTATTTACAGAGATTGGAGCAGGGCAAATAATGAAAAGTTGCAGAAAACCATAGTCAAAAAATACCAGGAGCTGGATTAATGGAGTTTCAGGGTTGATGTGGATTGTTTTTGTCTCTTTGCTTTTCCCTTTTTATTAAAGATGTTAAAATTTTGGAGAATACAGAATAGCGTACTCCTGTACTTCTAGAACCACTATACATAACTACTGGCCATTAGACAAAAGCATGACAAAGTCAGTTTCTTTGTCTTTGATCAATAGAGAACATTGTCCACAGTAACAGCAATATTGTAAGGACGATCAACTGTGAAAGACTTAGCTACTCTGATCAAGACAATGATCCAAGACAATTTCAAAGGACCCATGATGAAAAACGCTATCCACATCCAGAGAGACAAAGGATGAACTTTGCATACAGACTGAAACACACTTTCAAAAACTTTATTTTTATTGTTTCATTTTGTGTGTGTGTGTTTTTTTTTTTGCAACATGGCTAACATGGAAATATATCTTGCATGACTTCACGTGTCTGATATCAACTGATATCAAATTGCTTATCTTCTCAAGAAAGGTGGAGGGGCAGAAAAGGAGGAAATTTATAAGTAAAAAAATTTTTAAATGACTGTTAATTTTTTTAAACATGTAATTGGGAAACATTTAAAAAACAAATAAAAAGAATTTTAAAAACATAAGTGAACATGAGATGGGTCAAAATTTTTAGTTTCTTGTCCAATGGATCTTCTGCCTAAATTTGTGACAAAGACTATAGGACTGTAAAAGGCAGAAAAATGTAAAAGGGAGCTTAAAATGAGAGTGGAACAAGATAATTCCTAAGCAGAGAGAAAATTTTAGAAAGCCTATGTGAAAAAAGAACAAAAGGGTTAAAAAAATAATATTTTGGATGGCTCACTGTAACAAGACAACTCATTCACAGATTACTTATTCTAAAAAAGATGTCAGAAAGAGAATATCATAAACAACTGTCCTTTAAATTTGTTCTGCTATCACAGAAACATTATAGAATCCCAGAATTGAGTCAACTTTTACAAAGGTAAAACTAACTGCCAAGTATTACAGTTCCACAGGAAATTAGAGTAAATTAAAAGACAGCTGAGAGGAAAAACAAATACAAATTACTTATATAAATTAAATACTAATTTAACACTCCTGAAATTTGTAGCTAATGTTAGGTTGGAAAACAAAGTCCATTATGCAGGTATAACAAATGTATCAGAAGGTAAGAAATATAATCGTATATCATGGAAGTCACTCCAAGATAAGAATGAACAGTTGTGTGTAGTATGTGGTGGAAAGAGGAGCAGACTAGGACCTGGAGGTTGAGTTCCAACTCCAACATTTATTAACTGTATGATCTAAATCAGGTAATTTGGCTTCTCTAAGCTTCAATTTCTGTATCAGTACAATTGGGGTAAATAAATATATGCCCTTGTGGGACTGCTTTGTAGATTTACAAATGTAAAATGTTATTAGTGAGCCAATCTGTGTAAATTACAATAACTACACCTTCATTATGAGAGCCTAATTTGCCTCACTGTGAGTAGGGAAGGTTCCCCTTAAGTAGGCCAAGACTTAGTTATTTCTTGAAGTTTAATCATTAAATGAAACAAAATCGGGTAGTGACAAAGTCAGGTTTGAAAAATCCATGTCTCTGCCTCCTCTTCCCTCCTCACCCCCAATATTCTACTCCTAAGGCTTCAAGCTTTCTCTGTAACACTTAGAACAGAACAAAATAAATATCTCCAGGCCATAAGGAAGGAAATTTTCTGACATTAAAGATGTATGTATTTATAAAAAGTGTATTAAAAGTTATTGTTTGTACTTCATTCTCAAAGAGGACCAATGACATCAGGAAGGTGATGTCTTGACTTGCAAGTGAACTGGATTGAAGTGAGGCAGAGAGAGCTGTGCAAAGTCATCAGCCTTTCTCTCCTCCAGCCATCTCAGTCCAGTGGCAAGATATACATCAGGATGACTGGAGATTGCCCAGATGCAGTGGGAGATCTTGGCCTTTTTACACTAAGGTCTTTCCCAGGTCTCAGTTTGTCTGAGGGAACACCCATTCAGTGATTAAGACTAGGTAAGAAATGAGCAAAACAAGGCCTCTTTTACCTACTCAAAAAAAAAAAAAATCAATCCGAGAGGGGAAAACCCTCATGGTTTCTGACCAAAACAGAAACAATTGCTATTTACACTCACTCTGAGCCATCAAAACCCAAACACAGATCAAGTGAGGCTTGGGCTAAGACCTACTTGGGCAATCAGTGAGAGCCAGAGTGATCCAGGGTTTTAAGGCATGGTCAAGTAGCTCCATTTGAATCCCAATAGGCTTTATCAAAGCCTGGTTTTCTAGTGCTATATATTTCAAGAAATCATAAATGAAACTACAAGGTGCAAAATAGTTAACTGTCCCAGTTTTTTTTTTTAATTTAATGATAGAATAAATAAGTGGAGAAGAGGAAAAAAAAAACCTAGCCCATAAATCTCAAGATATCTTGCAAGGTTTCAGTGATCAAAATTTATATTCCTTTGGGTAGAGTGCCCACAGGTAAGGATATGATTTTCCCCATGTGGACAGAGGGAGATAAGGGAGGGATGGAAGGAGAGAAGGGAGGGAGGGAGAGAGGAAAGGAAGGAGGGAAGGAAGGGAGGGAGGGAGGAAGGGAGGGAGGGAGGAAGGAAAGAAGGAAGGAAGGAAGGAAGGAAGGAAGGAAGGAAGGAAGGAAGGAA